TATTTATACCCCGCCTATCTGGTCATTGTGACCCCTCTAGGCGGCTTACAACACAAAATACATAAGCAAATATAAGAAAAGAATTATTACACAATTAGACAATTCTGCAAGATGGAGAGCATACAAAATAAATCAAATAGAGAAAGGAGGGGAGAGAATCAGGAATCAGCTGGGGGGAAGGCCTGCCTAAACATCCACATTTTAATTGATTTTTGAAAGTATCCAGCGAGGGAGCCGCGCGAAACTCCGGAGGCAGATTGTTCCAGAGACGAGGACGTGAAACTCCGGAGGCAGATTGTTCCAGAGGCAAGGAGCCACTGCAGAGAAGGCCTGGTTTCTTATTTTTTCTTTCTGGGCCTCCCTGTATGCATAATTTTGACAGGGATTTAATTTAGAAGTGTAGGTTTCCAGCTGAAATCTCTTTAAAGATACAGAATATACAAAATGCAATTTTTCTGGAGATTTTTTTAAATAACAGATCAACCTGTTTGCACCAATGAGGGATATGTTACTTTCCCAGAATCACTTTTTATGGCAAAATCCACAAAAATATGTGACCTCCATGGTAGGCATTCAACATTGCTTGAAGAGTCCCCAAGCCACTTGACATGCATTGTTAGTTTGTTTTTTTTAAGCAGGCAAAAAACAAAACAAAAAAAAACCTAGAGAAAATAATGACCCAGGACGTTTCTCAGTCAATGATCAGATCAGTAGTCAGTAGTTCAGTCTCATTTTGGGAGGATGTTATGATTCTCTGTGGACTGAGAAAATACAAGACATCTATGATCAATGCTACCCATAGACGTAACCCTAGGCACAATGCTACTGCTAGCTCTCAATGTACAAGCATTTCCATCAAATCAGATAATACTTCAAAACTCAGAGTGTGAAATAGGGAAAATATGGTTTGATCCACTGTGATTTACACCCATGGAAATCAGGTTTCCCCAGATGAAATTGCTGTAGCCATCCAGAGCAATTTGCAGAGGCAGAGGCTTGATTTTCACCAGTTCCAACAGCCTTAAGGTGCTAACAAGTGCTAATTAGCAATTTCCACTTCTCTGTTTCTCTCTGTGTGTCTCTCTCTTTTACAGTGTTCTCCTAAATGCCCTACTGGAAGGATTTTCCAAGGCTGAGCTGAAAATTTTAAAAAGTGGTTTGGAGAGTAAGGGAACGGATTAGAGATGGGCACGAACCAGTTTGTCCCGATTCGTCCCAGTTTGTAAAGGCTGCAGCACAGGTGCTGCTGCTCCCCTCCCCCATCTGGCTCCAACAGCCACTCACCTGGCCCAGCTTGGTTGCTTTTTTTCCACCTCCTCGGCTAATCTTCCAGTCACCGGCAAGAGCACAGACTTCCCTGCCCCACCCTTTTCTCTAAGTGGCAGATCAGCCAAGGGGGCGGGGCAGAGAAGCCTGAGCTGCTGCCAGGACTGGAAGATCAGTTGAGGAGGTGCAGGAAGCTAGCATGCTGGGCCTGGTGACTGGCTGACTGAGCCAGAGGAGGTGGGGAAGGAGAGCAGCAGCACCTTTATAAACCAGGATGAACTGGAACGAACTGGTTTGTGCCCATCTCTAGTACTGATTCCCTCATGAGCAATCCTTCACTTGGGTCAGGTGACTATACTGGCAGGAAGCAGACAAAAGCAGTGTCAACCCAATCAGAACAAATTTAAACCACCTCTGGTGGCTGAACAAAATAATAATAAAAAAGAAAGATGAATGCAGAACAGGCTACCCCCACCTCGCCCTGCCCGGCTGAGCTTTATGCGTTTCAGTTTGAATTCATCTGTGCCCAATCTAATAGCAAAAGAGAAAGAGAAAGCTGCTTCTTAAAGTGTCTACGTTTATTGTTCGAGAACGCCCAGAGCAGTTTGGAAAGATTGCCTTATCAAGGTGACTATGAGCAGAAATAAATCCACAACATTTTAATGGATAGCTATAGAAAACTGTTACTGCAATGATGGCTAAATTCAAGTATTATTCCCTATAACTCTTTTTGAAGGTGAAAGAAGTGCCGAAGCAGGACTGCAGTGAACATTAAGAAGACAAAAATCTTGACTGCAAAAGAACTACCAACTTCAGTGTTGACAATGAAGAAATTGCAATTGTTAGAGATTTTGTATATCATGATTCAACCACCAATCCAAAGGGAGACTGCAGCCAAGAGGTCAGAAGGAGACTGAGACTCAGAAGGGCAGCAAGGAAGGAATTAGAGAACATTAAGAGGTGTAAGGATGTTTCACTAGAGATGAAGATCAAGGAGATCATTCACACTCTTGTATTTCCAGTCACCATGTATGAGTGTGAAAGCTAGACAGT